TTCACAATTCAATTCCTTGTATCACACCACATTGACCAAGAAGCATAAGGAAAAATAAAAGTGAACCAATGCTCTCCTGCTGATTAAGACAAATTCAAATGTAGTTTTTTTGAGAACTAAGGATTTAAACATTACAATAACATCGATCATTTATTGAAAGCTTTAAAAAATACTAGTTTACACYGCGCAACGTGAAAAACAAATTAAGCTGTATTTTGTTAAATGCAACCAGAGCAGCTCTTCTAAGCTATTTATTAATTATATTTTCTTCACCASCTTTCAGTATGCAAAAGATGGCCTGACAGGTTCTGCTCTTTGATACTTTACTACAGAAGCAGAGGGAGTAGGGCAGCAGTGCCTTCTTTCTTTTGACTGCGATTTTAAAACATTTCACCGACCTTCTCCAAATTTTTAGGGAACACACAAATTTATATTAATATAAATAGCATATGATCCACAAAGCAGCCATGGTTTTGCACTTAAGCACTGAACCCAAGTCCTACATGTGTATCCTGTTTTTAAGTACTGTACATTGTCTTAATGTAAAAGTGTTAAAAAGTTCAACCTTCCCATGCGGAATTCAGGAAAGAGGGGGAAGAGGAGGACAATCAAGTCATTTTGCACAGATGTTGCATTAAGACAATCAGATAGGATAAGAGACCTATCCGAACAAAAAGCAGGAATTTAAAACCACATGGACAATGAGAGAAGAGAGTCCACTATACCTTCTCTTCAATCTGGGCCTGATTTTGAAACAAAACCAGACCAACYTGCTAAAATAAAACACTTACCAAAAATATRATCTGTAGCAACAAGACAGAAAATTCTTCTTGAGAAGCACTGAGATACCAGATGGAAATTTGTCAATCAAGTGAAAAAAAATATGTATAGAAGACCGAATTAATTACTGTTCAATACTTGATATTGGAATGAGAACAACCAATGCTACAATTAATACCTTTGAAGAAAAATCTATAAAAATTCATTTTAAGGGAAAAAAATTCTATGTCAACATCTTTACTAGGCTGAAAGACAATTAGTATTCAAAATCAGCAATTAGTAAAATTATCATCTAAGAGTATCGTTTATTCATGAGAAGTAATATTAAATTCATTAAATTAAAGAAAGTTTCCTTTACAAAGACTAAAAGAATGGAGAATACTTGAGATTGATTTTGCAAAGACACGCTGATAACTGAAACCGAACAAAAGAATTTGAATATTTTATTTTTTCACCCACTGTTTACAGATAGTTTTATAACCATTYGTTATGTAAGGTTTGATTCCTAAATCATGTCAATGTGACAGCAAGATCTTTGTTTCAGGAACTATAGTCAAAAGTTGCAACCATGATGGCAACCCCTGCCAGCTCACCATTGTTTCTAAAATTTGACAGTTTCTCCAAGTACAAGGTTAATTCCCAACATCCTCAAGGCAACTTGCAAAACACACCAATAAATTAATGATTGCTAAGTATCAGTGGTACTTCAGAGGCACAGTTTAAAAGGAAAAAAGAAAAGTCGCAGAATTCCAACATTTTAATGATTCCTTTCTGCTGCCAGGTGGAACGTCTGGTGGATTCAGAAGAGCAACAGCTTCCCACGGAACTTAGCACAGATGACTAAATGCTTTTGATGGCACAGTGAACCTCTATTTTAAGACTTCACTTTTAACTTTGCATTACAGTTCACTACCATATGACTAGAGGCCAAATGCTAGGAATTTGCATTAAGAATGAAAGCATACACAATCTCCTGGAGCTACCAAGGAACTGCTGCAGCAGGAATGCTATAACATGACATTTTACCTCAAGAGGCATACTTGTATTTCTACTGCAGAATGTTTCACTTAACTGTGAGCCACTTGGATTGAGGACTAAGAAATGATCAGTCTTGTAAAGWTCACACAGCTACTTGGAGGATTCATCAGCAGAAAGATTAAGTTTTCAGCTCATACCTGTTACAAACACAGTCATCTCTTAATAKAATTGATTGACTTTCTATTGAAGCTTGCATTTTACAGTGGGCATCTATAATACTGTAATCATGGAATCGCAAAATTGTTAACACTGGAAAAGACTTCAAAGACCATCGAGTCCAACCACTGACCCAGCACCACCACGTTCACCACTAAACCACATCCCCAAGTGCCACATTCACAAGCCCTTTGAACACTTCCAAGGGTGGTGATGCCACCACKTCCCTGGGCACCCAAMTCCAAKGGCTTTTGGCTCCTGAAGATCTAACCAGTGATAACTACTCTAACTGCACTCTCAAAGTGCATGAAAATGTGGGATTAACAAACATGGCAAAGTAAGACTTGGGAAATTTCAACCCTCAATTTAAGGAGGAAAGCAGAGCCTAGATCTTGTATAAACCACAGAAGGGACACTAATGGAAAACAATAAAACCTGTCCAGTCACAGTTTTTTTGAAGAAGAACAATCCTCTCTGAGCAAGCTGAGCATGTGCTGGCATCATCTACTGGGTTAGGCTTCTTAAAAGAATTAAGTGAAGGAACCCCTTGTTTCTGGACCTACATAGAACTTAACCATGTACTAAACGCTGGTCAGCACAAAGAAGCACCTTCAGGCAAATGTGAAAGTGCTTTTTCAAAGATTGAGAAGGTTTGAATAAAACAATATTATCAACTTAACATCAAGTGAAACAGAGAACACAGCAACTGAAGGACAACCATTAACTAGGCTTGGTTTAGACACAGCACTTTTCCTCCCTTGAATCTTATTTACATCACCCATGTGTTGTAGTGGCACTTAATCATTTATTATGCATGCAGCATATCAAAATTGCTTCTTTACATAAGACTATATTATTTATATCCAAGGAAACAAATCTTTTTTGAAGTCCTGGCAAAGGAGCCCAGAATCTGGTCTGCTCACCAAACAGACAGAACACATGCTATGAAAGGGGAACTTCTCCCCACACCTTTCTCCCCCCGCTCTTTGCTTGACTTAGGCAATGTCAAAAGGCATTTGGACTCCACGACTAACCAATCCCTGGATTCTTGCAAAGCCAATTATCTAAATTAGTAACAACTCCTGTCACTATTTCTGAAGCTGGCACGTATCCCCAAGATAGACATTAAATACGCATTTCACGCAAGCCAAGTTCATCTACACAACGCCAGAGCCAAGAACTGAAAATGTTCAYCGCTCTTTTCTCTTGGCCTACTACAACAATTTAAGCTTTTTAAAGCTCTCTTCTGGGACATGTTCTGCGAGGTCATACTTTAAGAACTACTTATGCAACAGCAAAAGGAGCTCATGGCTCCTGTGGACAGAGCGAGAGGCCCAGGGATGGCCATCAGCTGTAGCAAGCAGCCAGAGCCAGCAGTTTGCTCAGGATTTTCTAGAAGCCAAGGGCTCGCTGTTTCCATTCACCACACTGCCTTGACAGAGCCTTCACATTGTTGCTCCATCCCTTTGGATACCACACACTTTGGCACCTCCTGGTAGAATCCCCAGYTCTACTTGCAGGTGTCAACACTTTTTCCTTTCCTGCTACCATACCCACTGGGTRACAGTTGTTTAGTGGCCAAAAAAGACCTCTATGTTGCATAAGCTTGCGTGAAACCTTAAATATGCCACATAACATCAGCAGTTTCCTGGAAATCCCTAGCCAAGTCTACTGCTACATTCAGGCAGAGCTTTGGCTCATCTAGGTTACCTTCAAGTGTAGACAGTGGTGGGCAAGTCTTGAACAACAGGTTTTCTGCAATCTGCAACTGCAACCAGTGCATTATGTCCTACTCAAGATGGAGATTTTCAACAGTGAAGCAATGGCTAACATAAATTACATCTGAATAATCCTCCAAGTCTGGAAAAAGCCACAGGATGAAGATTTGCCCACCATTTTAGCAAATGAAGCCATCCAGTAAATCACACTGTAGCTGTTCACGGAACATCTGGTGAGGCCACCAAAGTAACTGAAACCRTCTACAAGCCCTTCCCTTCCTCTCAGCGAGGTTAACCGCGCAGACTTACTGCAGATTAAAGGCAGATACAGAAATACCTTGTCCCCAATATCCATTTACCTTGTCCTGAGGGCCTGCCAGGCKGCATCAATGTCTGCATACAGGTTTTTCTCAGAGGGTTTGCCGGTGCTCACCCCGTAGCCAGAGTAGTCATAGGAGAAGACGTTGCAGTTGATGCGGGAGCCAAGGCCAATGTAGAAGCTGCACATCTGGCCCAGGTCCACAGCATTACCGTGCGAGAAGAGCAGCGTGTACCGGCCAGTGGGGGCACAGCGAACGAACATGCAGCCCAGCCTGTTATCTCGGGCCGTGCGGGAGAAGAACACTTCCACGGCATCCAGTTCCCGCTGGGAATACTGCCAGTCGGCCCGCTCGCTCAGGTGCAGGCTGCAGGTGGCCGATCCCGTGGGGGTGCTGGCCCCGGCCGCCGCCCCGGGCTCCTGCTGCTGCTCGGGCTGCAGCACGGTGTAGGTGGGCTCCGGGGGCAGGAAGGCCAGCTTGGCAGCGATGCGGCTGGGGCAGGGCGGGCAGCAGAACAGCCAGCACAGCTCGCCCAGAGAGAAACCGTTCATTCTGGGGCCTTGTTCTGGCATCAGAGACGCCGGAGAAAAGCTAAAGCTCTGCTGGAAAGAAGTCACACGGAACCGACCCGGAGCCCTCCTCCGACGCGACCTGCCGCCTTCCTGCGAGGCCACCGGCTGCCCTCCCAGAACGCAAACAATGGCAACCTTGGAGCAACTACAGTTCAGCAACAGCAGTGCAGCTCTTCAAAGCCTCGAAACTGCTCACACAAACCAAAAACACAACCCCACGAAATACAGATGGGCTACAACCGGCCCTCACCCCACCACACACACAACTAACGCTACGGCAAACGCAACTCTCTGAAACACGATCCTAGACCCCCCTCACAGCACATGAGCCACACGTACACATTTACAAAATGAATTCCCCGATCCCACGGCTCAGTACAGCGCTCCAGCCCCGGAGCCGGTCCCCCGCACGGAACATGCAGGATCCAGGCAAGCACCTTCCCGCACACACCGCACCACGCGCGGCTCCACCCGCTCCGCCCCGGCCCCCGGGACGCCCCGCAAGGCAGCGAGGGGCCCCCGCAGCGCCACCGCCCCCGGCCCGGCCCCGGCAGCGTCCGCGGGAAGAGGAAAATGAGAAGGAAGAGGAGCACGAGGAGCGGGACGAGGAGAGTCCGAGGGGAAGGGGAAGGCAAGGTCGAGGCTCAGCCGCGCGCGGCCGCGGGCAGGGCCATGCCGGCTGCGGCGCGCAGGCAGGAGCGGGCAGCGGCCATGTCCCGGCTCCCCCTCCGCGCCGCCGCAGCGCTTCCGGGTTACGGGCGCGGAGCGGCGCCGCCGCAGGTGCCGGGGCGGGCGCGGGGCTGTGCCGGGTCGTGCCCGCAGCGCCGCCGCCTGGACGGGGCGCCGGGAGGTGCGGGCGGTGCGGGAGCGGGTCCCACAGAGCCGGCCGGGGTGCGGGAGCGGCCGCCGGGCCCTTTAAGGGACCCCCCTCAATCCCTCCGCCGGCCGCCCACCCTCGCGCGTGCGCGGCGGGGCCGGGGGCGAGCGGCGGCGCGCGCCGGGGCCATTTCGCGCCCTCTCCCTCAGGGGACCCCGCACCCCGCGCCCTCTCCCTGAGGGGACCCCGCACCCCGCGCATTTCGCGCCCTCTCCCTGAGGGGACCCCGCACCCCGCACCGGCCCGGCTCGGCTCATCCCGAGCGCCCACAGCTGAGGAGGGCCAGTCCCCGAGCGGGGCACGGCGGGCCGGTGCGGGGCTCCCCATGGCCCCGAACATCGCTCCTCCAATTTTCCAGGTTGTGCAGCAATGCCGGTGGAGCTGCTCCTCTGCAGTGCCCAGCGCTCCAGCTGCACAGAGAGCTGGGCGTCCAAAAGCTCTGGAGGATCTGTGGATTTGGGTGAAACTTGCWGTTTCACCAAAAGAGATACCACGGAAAACTTAAAATGGTGCAATCGCAGAAGGCTCATTTCCTTAGAAAATCAGGGTAATGACCCGTATCCCAGATAATTCATTGGATAAATTAGCAAATTGCTTAGAGCATATGGCAGACCTCATGGGTCAGTGGTACTGCATCTCTAACACGTTCTTCGACCCTGACAGCAGAAAGCAAAGATTGTGGGCAAATGATGCCACATTTATGTGTAACTTTCTGTTGGTAACACAGGCTATTGCTAGACGCTTTAGTTAACCAGCTCGGCGTGCTTGCTGAAAAAAAATATTCACATAGCCCAAGTGAAAATAYAAAGAAAATTACATCTGTGCAATTGCATTTACTCTGCAGTTCTTGCACRTCCAACCAGTGCCCTGACTTGAGACATGATGAGCATGTTCACCCGCTGGTGTTGCTGTCCTTACATTTGCCCATTATACTACTCGCTACCCAAGAGGAAGAAATTTCCAAAACTTCCAGAACTGGAGTCATTCCATTAGTTACCAATATGCCCTTCCCTTTCACGTTCGTTGGGTAACACATGCCAACTCTAAGAAAACTCAGTTCAAAACCTCTGTACAAAAAGTTGGTCCTGTGTGATACGCCTCTGGAACRTCAAAAATGAGCTCAGCCCCTGTCCATATCAGTCTTTAGTTTTGCTAACAATGGGAATTTCAGAAATGCTAAAATCAGCCAGCAATAATTGTGTCTATGCTGACTATTAAGGGAGAAAATGAAAGGGAGAAATGTGTATCTTCATCCAGCTCGAACATGTGGCCTCTGGCATGGACAGACTGTTCCTCTGGAGGACACAGAATACCCAGTTAATTACACGTGTCCCAGGCATGTCCCACTGGGAGGGTGACAGGTCCAGAGGTCGGGCAGGGTAATGAAACGTGTCCCACCTACTGATGCTGGGTTCCTTTGGGTGGCAGAGACAACCAACGCTCCCATGTACAGGTCATGAAATGATGAAAGGGACTCCTACTCCACAGACCAGCAGGGAATCTGGATAAAGAAAACACAGAATAGATAAATGAGGGACCTTGTGAAATTCCTTGTGGATGACAAATGCCCTCAAGCTCCACCTCAGCTGCTACAAGAGACACTATTGATAATCTGTGGGAAGGCTGATAGAACCCTGAGAAAACCCTGAACATACCCTGAGAAGTGATTTGGCTGATGAGAGCTGTGAAGAGTCTGCCTAGTGYTGCCACTACGCGTTCCTCTCACTGCACACACGCTGAAACCAAGATAAGAGCTGGRATCTGGGCATTAGCACCAGCTGAAGCTAACATTTCTCAGAATCCTTTCAAAGGCTCGCCCAGAGCCAGACAGCAGAAGTTGTTATATCATAAAAAGATTGCTACTCCAAAGAATAGACAATTTAAAGGACAGTATTTCCCATGCTCCACCCTGGCCCTTCCTTAGGTTATGTTTGCAGTAGTGAGATTAAAGTATCCTCCTTGAAACAAAGAGGAAATGTTATGAATTTGCTCCTTGAATGAATGGGGCTGTGCAAAYCTCATTAGTTCTCATTACTTATTAGAGTTATTTCTTCATTGTTCACATCATACACTCTCTGTGGTTTACATTAATCTCAGTCCACCCCTTCTACAATAAAATACTTTCTGCGCAGTGGGAGCCTTCTCCTGAAAGATAACATTTGCTGAAGTCTTGGAGAACAAAATGAAGAAAGCAGCAAGAAGGAATGACAGAAATGGAGATTGTACTGGATGAGAAGGAGGGAGAAGTAAGAAAAATGTGTTCTTGAATACTGCTGCCATCATGGCAAGATGAAAACAGTCAACATGAGTTTGTAGTTCAAGTAAAGCAAMCCGAATTAGCACTCATGGTTCCCCTGATGCTATTGCCTCAGTCCAGCAGTCCTTCTCATCTCAAATCTCCTGAACCCCAACTCCGTACTTCCGTCCACTYATTTCTTTTTATTCTGCCAGCCAGCAGGCATTTGCAGTTTTCACTTGACCAARCACTGTGAAAATGCTCAAGATAAACAAGTTTTTCTGCTTGTTCTGTTACCACAGAAGTCATCTTTTTAATCATATGTAAATAAAGCTGTCTGCATTGCTGTGCTTTGTAGCTAACGTGACACTAAGACTGTGAAATACCCTTCTTCTTCACTAAATGCTAATATTTGACCTGTGAGGGAAGAATATGCAAGAACTTAAWAATAAATTGTCAAGCCCACTTAGAAAAGGGAAGCATCCCATAGGAAAACATTACTGAAAGTTTTTACTATGAACCTTTAAGTGATTTTTGATGGACTTTGATGGATGGCTCAGGTGAGCAGGGAAGATCTTCAGATAGCTATCAAAGGGCAAATACAATAAACAGAACACTCAGCAGTTGGTTATGTCTTGGTTATTTCCATGTCCTGTAGCTTCATCATGTCTCTTGCAAGGGCAGAGCACTTTGCACCCCACTTCCTTTTCCTGAACACGGGATAGACAAAAAAATAGGCCAGAAGACAGTGAGACTGAAGCCAAAGAAGACACCTGGCAGCAGCTCTGTGAAGATTATGTATCTTAAACATTAACCATGCCTGACTTCCTGCTGCTGCTGGCCGACTGTGTGACTGCCACAGCTGGATAAACAGTCCCCATCTCATTCATACCTGCACACCGGCAGCTRTCCTCTGCCTGCAGGACTGGTTACAAACACCAGACTCAGACTAGGAAGTTCCTCAAAGCATATTTGCTTATTTCCTGGACAAACAGTGTGTGAAGAGTGCAAGTATTGTTTCTTACTGCTCATGTGAGTTAATAACTGTGTATCCCGGGTTTCTAGGATATTTTAAAGCAGTAGCAGCTCAGCTGAAAAAAGGGTGAGAGATCACACTGGAATCTTCCAAACTAAGGGGCAGGGCAAATAATCAAGCMCTATTAATGAGCATACTTGGCTGAGTTCTCATCAGCCATGTCACTGTCCAGTTCTTTGCAGTTTCTGGACRAAAGTGTGCCTGAAAGAAGGATTTGAAATAGAAGAGTTATTTTGCTTTGGGAATGGAAGAAGACCCTCCCAAACATAAGAGAACCAAATGTGGTGGGAAGTGGTGTGTCTGGAAAAGAACTCATGGGCARCAGAGGATGGCATCAAGAACTTGCTGGAGATATACATCACTCTGGTGCCAGTGAGAAAATCATAGAATTGTGGAGTCTTTTAGGTTGRAAAAGACCTTTAAGATCACAACCCCACCTGGCTACAATCTCCTGTCAGATAGCTGTGGAGAACAATAAGGTCTCTGCTGGGCCTCCTTGTCTCCAGGCTCTGGTTCTCTGTAGAGTCAAAACTTGAAGATAYAACACCCAAGTTAATCATCCAGGGTAAGCAAGCTAAATACAGCCTTCAGTACATGGCCCACACTTATGTTTTTTCTATTGGGTGTATCCTTCCCTACATTGTGCCAGCGGAAAGAGCTTGGATTACTTATTTCTCTTTCTGCAGCTGAGCAAGACTGTAGCAATTTTCTGCCACATAAACCCATGCAGCATTAAACTTACAGGCCTATATGGACAGAAKTGTTTCAATTACTTTACCAGAATGAATAAAACAAAGGAAAAATAGAAAATTTATGGAGCTTGAATGATCAATTTCTTCAGAAATATGAGTCTAAGACAAATGACACTCTCCAGGGTTTAAAACAGTTTCTTCTAGGTCTGCTGGGTTTTAGTCAAGACTCAGCTATCTTCAGATTTGCTGTGAATACAGCATGAGAAGAATGTGGAAAGGAAAACAAAGATGTACAAACATCAAAACTTACAGGAGGGATAGAAGGGGGAGGGTGAAGTGGCAGCTATGTGATAATATACAATGAGGGTTTAGAGTCTTGATTTGCAGTGACTGCATTTTATGCCTGTCACTGGCAAATTGACATTTTAAAGATATGTTCTTGATTGCTTTTTCATGTCAGTATCTTTGTTCAGGCTACATCTAGGCTGATGAAAGGAATTTCAATTAAGGATGAAATCCTTTCCTTACTGTATTGAAATGCACAGGGTGGGAGCAGAAGAATAGAGCAATGAAAGCTCTATAGAGAGTTCTTTAAGGCATCTTGCTGACACAGGACAAGATAGTTTAGGAATGCCTGGGGCAGTGCACTCTGTAATGGTTTACTGTGCCTTTACAAAGAAACAGTGTGCATTCACCTTACTGCCTGCTGCCTGAGGCCATTTATCATTCAAACAGGGGGCTAAGGGTTTAATAAATCCCAATCTAGTTTAGTCCACAAGGGAATGGCAGTCTGGAGTCATTCAGGAGTGACAGGGAGGGTGGCACATAACCTGGCAGGAAAAGGCTGATTTTCACCCTGTGTATGTAAGCAGTATCCTGGGAAATGAAAGRGGTTACAAATCTGCATAGTGAAAGCCTTGGGGAAAAGAAGTGTGAAAAATAGTAAGACATGGATACAAAGRCGTTCRAGAGAGAAAAAAAGAGAAAGACAATAGAAAACTGAGAGCAGGGGAAAGAAAGGAATACTAATTATAGGAAACAGCACCAAACCCACRTTATCTACCTACCTTGCTATCACTTWGTATTTGGGGTGAAAGAACAAATTMGTTCCCACTGGACACTTTCATGGAGATGTATTCCTCTTTCATGCTTGTCCTTGTCCACCATTTTCCAGCCTATCTTGTGAGAATTTTTAGTTTGCTGATACATCCAGGATGCTCACYCAGCCCTTGCAGCTGGGCTCCAGATGTTGCCATGACCTTCAGAGAGCAGCTGATCCACACTCCTCTCCCAGTCTGTGCATACAGCGTGGGTGTAACAAGTGCACTCCAAAGACTCCTCAGGACCTCTMCATGTACCTGTAAGTCGTGCCTTCATTCAGGTCTGAAGCTGGGCATTGAGGCATTACTTCTCAACAAAATCTGGACAGGGGCTGAGTTCTGTCACTGTGGCCACACTCATAATCAAGCTAGCAGTTCAAAGGCAATTTGTGTATGTCAACAGCACTAGGGTCATTAATGTGACAAGCATAGACATATATTTAATTCAGACATATATTTAATTCACTACAATAATTMATCTATTAAGATGATCTGATTTACCAGCAAGAGCCAGAAGGACTGTTCACATGGTTTTAACAGTGCCCAGTTATTCAGGGATGAGGCTGTCATACATGAAATCCGGATCTGAGTATTTGCATACAACTGCCAAATGCCATGTATGTTACAGGAACTGAAGTGGAAAACTGCCAAATTCTCCTGCAAGAATGTGGGAGCTCTGATGGTGTATCACACTGTTCCCTGAAAAGAAAATTAAAACAAAAACAACTGGTTTTTGTGTTTCCCCACTTTACAGAAATCATCAGAAAACATACGCTTCATTTCATCATAAACCTCCAGGGCGTTTTCAAGGTCAGTGGAGATGGAGTTCAGGCTCCCATTCATGAGTGCTGTTTATGTAATTAAAATAGAAAAACAAATTTTGGCTTCTGCATGCTACTGTGTGTCAGAAATCAGCAATGCTTTCTTGAAGCATGTGGACTSTTCCAACTGCGTGTCAATCTTCACATCCAAAGTCTTCAACATCCATATTCTTCAACAGGAATAAACCTATGATAATGAACTCGAGTTTCATTTTTAAAAAGCACAAGCATAGAAGGGCCAATTACGATTATTTAAAATCTATGGAGATCTATCAATTATTTTCTTCTCAACATCACTTAAACTTGGTTTTCTGAAATCATAAAAACTAAAAAATGCCATTAGTCTGAGACCATCCCTTGACTGACTGAGAGATGTAAATTTGAAAAGCAGGTCACATATCTTCACCTGAAATACGCATTTGAGGTTGCAAACTAGACAGCCCACCTCTCAAGATTTACCTACTCCTCCTTCCTTTAAGCTCTTATCTCCCCTGTTCTCCCCAGAAAGCCTGGATAAAGCCTGTTGTTCTGTTAACATGCTTTTATGAGGGCATGAAGAAGCAGAGAACTGACCTGTGGAATATATTCCCTCTTTGGTGGTGCTGCTGGGGGTTACTTTACCTGTCACTGGACACTGGTGTCATTCTTTTTGCCTCCTGTGGCAACAACAGCAAGGCATCAAGAACTGCTGCCTATCCCAAGGGTGATCTTCRACTTTCTGGCACTCATCTGGAATTCTTCACCCTGATGTTCTGAAAGCAAATTGGGAAAACTTTGAACAGATAYCCTGACACAAGGAAGCTGGAGAAAAGAGGTCAAGCTACCAAAAATGCTGCAATAAACCAGTGTGTGCTCCATATGCAGCGCTGGCTGAGTGGATTGGGCACATGGGACCAGTGGAACAAGCAGGGTTAAGAGACAGATGAGCAGAGATGCTCCTTTCTGTGAAAAAGAGTGGTAGGAGGCAGCAGAAATGACACGTTCTGGCTTCATTCCTCACCARCTGCCTACAACTGTTACCATTACTTAAAATCAAATATTGTACCTTTTAGCTCAAGGACAAATTCTGAGAACAGAAGGAGACAGTGAGCTGAGAGTCCTCTGCACTGTCTCAGAGTCATTTTGCRGGCAAACTCAATTCCTCCACATTGCCTTTTAGTCACTGTGGTTTCCAAAAGGTCAGACCCTGATGTTCATAGTCTGGGGGAAATTTCCTAGAAAAGTCTTCTACACTTGGTCCCTAATGTCTAAAGAGCTATGCAATTACATCCAAGCACAGAGCTCTTTTGCTACTTTTCCTATAATCAGTCTTGAGAGTAATTTATTTTCCTCTTTACTGCAGTTATTTATGTTTTTGTCATTACCTCTCATCTGTCATTTCTTCAGATTATTGCAGTTCCTTCAGCTTTTTCATTCTTTGGTTTCTGAGTCATTTCTTCATCTCTCCCAAGCTGACCCACAATTATTCTCAAATACTCCAGGCTGGATATGGTACCCCAACYGTGGCCTTACTCATGGTGAGTAGAATAAGTAGGATGAGCTCATACCTTATAGATGCACTTTCACTGATCTATTCCAGTATGATGTTTGCTTTTTTTTTCTTTTTCAGTACGATCTGCATGACACTGGTGGTTCCCACTGAGCCTGCAGTCCTCTCTAACCCCCATACCTTTTCAGCTAACTCCTGCTTGCTCTGTTGGCTCTTTACTCCATTACTTTTTGCCATTGATTATTCCTACCAACACACAAACCATTACAGTTGTCCTTATCAGGTTGCAGCTACCCACTTCTAACACAATCAACACGCTCCTGCAAACAAACACAGTGCTGAGTACAGAGCTTGGTCAGGTCAGCCCAGACTTTTTAGGAAAGCACTTAATATTCTTATTATCAGAACCCTTCTTGTCTGTAGCAGATAAATGCTGTTGGCCAGGCAGGATGACTGAGAGGGTCTCCCTGGGAACCCTTATGCTGCCCTGAGTGGGCAGGTGCTGTAGGGCAAAGTGCCAGCCTTACCCCAACCCATATCCCACGAGCCAACCCTCTGCTCCTGAGCTTTGAAACGAGGCAGGCAGGAGCAAAGTCTCACATTTCTCCAAAGAGAACAAACATTTTTTCTCTTTTTGACTCATAGTGCCAAAAAATAAAAAACAAACCATAAAAACTATTTACCATCTGATGAAAAAATAACTATTTTCCCTTTTTTTGATGAACCTGTGATGCAATATCTGCTGAAATAGATGGGGTACTTCAGGGCACATGTGCTTACTCAAAAGTTTGGTTTTTTTTTCTGAAGCATATAAAGCTTTCCACAGATTGRTCCCCAGTCTTCTAAAATCTCACACGGTGTTATCTGTGATTATCAGACTGTACACATATGAACAYTGGCAATACAGAACAAGCCTCGTCTTTCTTCATACCTTTGTCTGACCAGGGTGTTTAAAGAGAAGTGCTGTTAATCACTTTGACTGCAGGAGTCCGGGTATGTAAGTACAAAGAGACTTATTACTTACTGGTGAAGCAGCAGTAATGAAATCCAGTGACAGTGACRTGGAGGCTAGACCCAGAAAGAAAATAATCCAAGCTACTGCGATAGCAGATTGATGTTAAGTATGTAATTAGAGAAGGAAAAATGAATGAAAAAGGAAACAGATGTAAACCAGCTCAATAGTTATTTTGTATCTTCTTGCCAAACATATCTTATTATGGTTCTGTTACTGCTGCTTTTAAATCTCTGCTAACCGAAATCTATGAGATCTGGAGAGCAATGACATTTTCCTTCAGGGTTACAACCCTGGCGGTTCTGCCAAGCTCAGCTCATTGCAGTAAACTGCCAGGATGCTAAATACTTAATGAGGTAACAGCAACTACATTTATAAGAAAGAAAAAATGGTAGATGGCCATTTTGGTTGAAGTCTTYAGGTTTTAAAAATTAACACCAAGGTACTGATAAAATACATGGTAATTTCCTGAGGAAAGATTAGAGGCTTGTGCTGAAGATAAAACCCAAAGCATATGTTTCCCTGCCTGGGCTTTCATGTATTAATCCTATATGAATTGTTGGTGTAATTAGAACAATTCTGTGACAGTCACAATTTGATGAGCACCATCCTATAGCTGAGCACACGTTCCTTATTCTCCCAAGACCACGCGAATCAGAATATCTCACTGCTTTCACTTTGTTCARTATTAAAAGGGAGTTTGGTGCCCATGTCTGTCAGCAGGTAATAAAGACTGGATTCCACAAATGCTCTAAGAGATGATGCCTCACAGCCCTCCAGAGCTGTGACCAGGCTGACAGATCTTTGTGCACTGGTTATGGAGAGATGATCCTTCCTTCCCACAGCACTCAGCTTGATTCCATCAGCAAGGCTTTTAGTGACTGCACTAATGCCAGAGCTGCCTCCTAGACCATCCTCATGTCAGACTGAAGTGATTTCTGCAGTGAAGGCACTGTCAGTAGRAGGTCCAAGAGCTCTTCATTGCTCTGTCTAACTGCTGGGCCAACTGTGCCAGCTCTTTTCAGTCTGACCAAGGCCATTCCCAGCTTGCAGGACAAGTAYTGAAGAACTGGAAAACGGAGGAGGAAGGTCTCACAAGTTCAGTAAGAGACGGGAAAATTGCCCTTGTGAAAAGCAGCGTTTTCCTCTTCCTGCACATTGGTCACTCGGGGAGAACAGAGGAAAAAACCCTTTTGTCTGAGTCATTAACACTATACTAAGAAAAACGCTTGCAACTGTGCTCYAGGGAATAACATTACACTAGCATAAGGGAGTACTTGGGTGAAATCAGGTTCCTTCATTTTACAGCAAATATCACTACCTGAATGCTGTTCATTTCCAGGCATTCTGGTGATTCAGCCTGGGAGGTGTCTGTTCACAAATTGCAATTATTGTCTGTATTCCAAAAGGGAAACTGATACAGTGCACTGCTTTAGTTATATATAGTTAGAAATGAGATTGTTTGTTCCTTACAGAAATTGGATGAATTTTGGCTCTGAACTGATTAAATACTTAATCTGACGCTTAACTTGAAACAGTTCAGTAYTTCCATTGACATGATTAAAATTGTCCACATCCAGCTAAGTAACTTTCCTGTTTTTCTGGACTGTGTTCTTTTAGAACTGAACATTTAGCTTAATAAATCCTAGTCTAACCATAACTGTAGCCTGGTCTAAAAAGAAAGGGGGGCGGTTAATGGGTAGATTCTGTGGCTTCTGATTTTTTGTTTGTTTGTTTGTTTGAAGGGAAAATTTTCTGCTTCCCACTTTGGGCCAAAATGCAATTTTTGGAGGTATGGAATTCCACTCTCAGAGTTCAAATTTCAACAGTGATGACAAACTTTGCAGTTTTGTTTGCAGTAATTTCTAACAGAAGAATTACTTCTCCCTTTTGGATGCATTTGTTTCTTGTAACGCTTGATGCAGTGCATCCATTTGGCAGTAAACCCCTTGTTGGGGAGTTACAAGCTGTTGGGTTTTTTTTTCTGTCTGAAGTTTAAGTCCCAAGTTAAATTTATCTGAACCGACATAAGCATGATTTGCACAGATGTTAAGTCATCACCTTTTCCTCACCAGGTGTTCCTCTTAGAGAAACCARTCCCAGGTCTGGTGAATTTGAGGTGAAAATGCAGCATCACATGTCAGCAAAAAGGCTCCTCTGTTAAGAGAGAGTTGAGGCAATCTCCCACTGAAGCCTTGGTGTACATGATGGACGGTGACCCACTTCTCCAGCTTGGGAAGCTTGGCCASTCTTCACAGAAATCAGTGAAACCAGGTCAATTAACCGCAGTGAAAGAGCTGGCCACAGGAACAAACAGGATGGAAAAGGGATAAAGTGATAAAGGAGCTAAACACAGCTTGAGCTGAAGTGTTCAGGGACCACAATTCATGTGGCCAGAGGATAAAGGTGAAGTTCAATGACAAGGTTCCCTGGATCCTCTTTTTTCCCCATCTGCACACTCTTTAGTGTGACCCAGTTTCCCCTTGGCTGTTGGCACTGGGGAGAACATGGTCCATTCTGATCAGGATTTTATTTCTAACCCCACTGCATTGAAAGGAGGATCCCAATTTACACTGACAAGGTAACAGGGCCCTTGGGGTTAGCTGGGGGCTCAACACCCCCTTCTCYTCCCAGCAGCAGAAAGCTCAGCAGGAAAATGGTAAAACAATTGGCWGGGCTGACAGATGTTCAGTCTGACTTCAAATGAAGTAGGAAAGCCTSGATCTGCAGATGTTGATAGTTTTCTGATTAAAAATCCTCCACTGACATACAGATAGATTAAAAAAATAATTCTTTAAAAGCACAGCACAGCCTTGATTTATGTATGCACACTGGAAAGTTGTCACCAGCTTTGATATACATTTCCTTCCCCAGTATCCCCCTGGCTGTGCAGGGCAGAGATCCGGCCTGTCCACATCAGGGAAATGCTGGGATCTCATTACACCTCTCAGTTTGGGGGCATTCAGTGCCTGTCACTGCACCCTAACAGGAACTGCACTGCTGAAACYCAAAGATGATTGAAATGTTAATTGTTTCCAGGACAGTGTCAGCAGCAGCCTTGCCTGGCTGAAAGAAAAGCCCCAGGGCATTTACCTGGAGGTGGATGAGGATCCTCCTTATGCCAGGTAGAAGCAGAGCAACTCCATTAATTTCAGCCAAGTCTGGGCTTTTTCCCCTGGAAGAGTGAGAGCTCAGAATCTGTTCTCAGTTCATTAGTACAGCCCAACGTGAAGAAACCAACTCCGTGAGATGGGAGGTCAGCCATGAAATCCACTGTTAACACAAGTAAGGAAGCAATAACAGACATCAGAACTTCTCTGCTGTGCTTATGTTCCAGGAGATGCAGAATCCCAGCAGATCATTAGCAGGGGGCAAATGAAGAAGTCCTTAGGCAAAATATTGCCACTGCTCCCAGTAATTGTCTTTTAGGCAACTGGGAGCTTTTAGGTGAAAGGTCTCGTACAACCAGAATGAGCAGTTCATGACTAAATTTTTCTGACTGTAAATCAGAAGCATTGAGACCCCAAATACTCATGGATTTGCTGATGCTAGCAGAGCAACACAGGCCTTCAGAGGCTGCTTACCTTAAMTTTGTTGTATGTTGTACAGCCAATAGACACATCACATCAGCTTATTGCAAAAATCTATTTTCTTACACACAGACAGTGTTAGAAAACTGTCTGCATATAAATTCTGCAAATACACAATGATACACAATAAATTAATTTGTTGTGCAATCCTCCCAACAGGAAGCGACACAYGTCCAGTGACTAAAACCAATATTATTACTTGCTTAAATCGAGCAATGCATCCTGTTGTTGTGAAGGATAAGCTTTGATTGAAAAGGACTGTTTTTGCAGCTTCAAATAATTCAAACCACTTTTTTTTTTTTTCTAAAAAGGAAAAACAAAGTAAAAAAAAAAAAGGTTTTATTCACTTGTAAGCAGCAACTCTTGGCACATTTCCTTACAGAAGACACTGTTGTGTCCGGCTATTACTCAACCCCTAACATTAGAGACCTTAAAGTTGCAGGAAACACAGTTCATCTTTTGCGTAGTTAGAAAGGACTTGGCTTCCCAATTACCCTGGAAACTGGACTTGCTGCTGGGCAGAAAACCACAA